AGATCGGTGTTGGTGGCATCATTCACGGGAAGTGCCCCCTCAATTACCCCTCTCCCGAGATCCCCTGTTTCAGAGTCAGCTCAGTCCTGATGTAAGAGTATGGCAAGACCTTAAGTGGATGGGGAGGGCCCCCTGCTTTTGACAGCAATGTCTGTGGGAGGCCAGGATGCCCCTTCTGCTATACCCCACAAACAGCTGGAAGAATGGTCAGAGGAAACACGGGGGATTAGAGAGTCATCGTCCTTCTCGCGTGATGAGGGATCCTGCCCCGCTGCTTCCGTCTATGGACACCAGGGCTCACCAAGACCTACTTAGAAGGCTGGTGGCCAACTTGGAGCGTGCAGGTAGAGGAGGTCTGGGTGGAGTTCGATCCAATGGTGGACATCCTCACGGCAAGCACCTCGGGTAGGGTGGCACTACCACTTAATAAACCTTATGGCAGACCCTTGCCGCTATTCCCCCATTTAGAAGGGGGTTGAGAGGTGCTACTTCATCCCCTAAGTGGGGCATGGGCACCTCTTCATACACCCTTTTCCGAGTTCATTGGTAGTGCAGGCTGGGGGCAGAAAGAGTGCCAAGAAGCACCGGGGTCCATGGCCAAGTCTAAGGAGCCCAGAAAGCTTGATTTGCTGGGGTAAAAGGCCTATGCCATGGGTGCCCTGCAACCCCGCATCGCCAATCAGCAGGCGATGCTATGTAGGTACACCTGCAACACTATGGATAAATTTAAGGATCGTCTCCTCCAAGACTCAAGAGGAATAGGGTGCACTAACAGAGGAGGATAGGACAATGGCACGTAAAGCACTGCAAATGGTATTGGATGCTGCAGACTCAGTGGCCCGTACAATAGCCACAGGGGTAGTGATGACGAGGAGTGCCTGTTTGCAAAATGAGGGTACGCTCAAGGACAGTATTTCAGTCTCCACCCCGTCGCTCCCTTTTGGTTGCTCGTTTTCCCTTTTCTACCAGGCCTCATCTTGCATTACTTCCAACCAGTGGGTTCTAGACCTAGTAGGAAGGGGTTATGTCATTCCCTTCTTTTCCCTCCCACTCCCCTTCCCTGTCCCTTTTCAGGGACCCCTTCACAAGCATCTGCTGAAACAGGAAGCATCCTTGTGACTGTATCTGGGGGCAGTCGAACATGTTCCAGAGGAGTTCAGGGGGAGGGGATTTTACTCCTGCTATTTCCTTATCTCCAAGTCCAAAGGGAGACTATGTCCCATTCTAGACCTCAGGAACCTAAACTCGTTTGTAAAAAAGGCAAAATTCTGGATGGTCACTTTAGCGCCTATCATCTCTTCCCTTCAGAAAGGAGACTGGTATGCTGCCCTCGACCTGAAGGATGCATACTTTCACATCTCAGTGATCCCTGCTCACAGGAGATTTTTGAGATTCACAGTTGGTCAGTATCCCTTCTAGTTTGCAATCCTACTGTTCGGCCTCTCCACATCCCTGAGGGTCTTCACCAAATTCATAACTGCAGTAACGGCCTTTCTGAGGAAGCACAGGGTTCAGGTTTTACTATACCTGGATGATGGCTGATAAGGAGGTTGTTCCAAGAACAAATATTAGACCATGTAGCCCTGACAAGGAGACTGTTCTCCAGCTTAGGCCTCCTCATTAATGAGGGGAAAGCCACACTCAACCCCACTTCAGCCAGGAGAGTATCTGAGTTGAGGGCCCTCACATCGGAGCCCCCTTACACCGTTTTCTTTAAGGACAGTGTTAGGCTGCGATGCCACCCTGCATTCCTCCCTAAGGTAGTCTCACATTTCCATATGTCCCAAGATCTTTACCTACTGTTTTTCTTCCCAAAACCTCACTATACGCTTACAGAGCAGGCTCTACACTCTCTAGACATTAGACAAACACTACTATTTTATATAGAAAGGACAAGAGATTTCCGTAGATCCTCACAATTCTTTATTGCCATAGCAGGGAGAATGAAGGGTTCACCAGAATCAGCTCAGTGCTTATCCTCTTGGATCAATTCCTGCATTGGAACCTTCTGTGATCTTGATAGTAGACAAGATCCCCCTCTTACGGCCCATTCCACAGGGGCGCAGTTGTCATTCATGGCATTTGTTGCACAGGTGCCCATTCTTGACATTCGTAGAGCAGCTACATGGTCCTCTGTTCACATATTTTCCAGTCACTATGTAATTGCTTAGCAGGTCAGGGAAGATGTGGCCACTGAGAGGGGTGTGCTGCAGTCCCATTTTGAATTAGATGTCGATAAACTCTGACCCTGCCTCCTAGGAAACTGCTAGGGAATCATCTAATTGGAATAGATATGAGCAAGCACTCGAAGAAAAAATGGTTATTTACCTCTGTAACTATTATTCTTCAAGATGTGTTGCTCATGTCAATTCCAACTCCCACCCACCTCCCCTTTGTCTGATGATTCCAATAAGAAGGAACTGAGGGGACCAGCAGAGGTTATATGTGCCAATATAGCAGCACCACTCCAGGGGGGGATGATTCCAGTAAGAAGGAACTGAGGGGACCAGAAGAGGTTATATGTACCAATATAGCAGCACCACTCCAGGGGGCTCCCTGGCAGGCCAAATGGGTACTGCTAAGGGAAAAAAGCTCTGGAATCTGTGAACGCAGCACGCACACACCTAATTGGAGTGGAGTTGAGCAACACGTCTCGAAGAACAACAGAGGTAAATAAATGTTTTATTTCTAAAGAGTCACAGGATTACTCATTGTTAATTTTTGAAAAGGAAAACTGAAGTTTTCATACGTTGAGGAATGCTCAAAGATGGAGAAAGAGAGTAAATTTAAAACAAACATTTATCTATGGCATAAATATTCATCTAGAGAAGTAGATTTTACCCATGAAAGCTTATGCCTTAATAAAGCTAATCGTTTCTATGGTGCCACATGACTCCTTGTTATTTTTGCAGACACAGAGTAGCACGGCTAGTCCTCTGAGACTTTATGGAATAAGCAGTTAATTTGTGCAATTCATTGTGATAGTTTTGAGACAAATTTTGTCTAGCTTTTAAGACTGTTTTTTGGGGCTGTTGATTAATTTCAGTTAACTCATGCAATTAACTCAAAAATAATCATGATTAATCACAGTTTTAATCACACTGTTAAAACATAAAATACCAATTGTAATGTATTGAATATTTTTGGATTCTCTTCAGCATTTTCAAATATTGATTTCAGATACAATACAGAAAGCAAAGTGTTTAGTGTTCACTTCATAATGTTTTTATTACAGATATTTACACTTTAAAGGTAAGATATAGTATTTTGCAATTCACCTCATACAAGTACTTTGTTTAGTCTCTTTATTGTGAAAGTGCAGCTTTCAAATGTAGTGGTTTTATTGTTATATAACTGAAATAAAAAACAAACCAACATAAAATTTTGGCATAGATAGGGAGAAAATACATTTCTTTGCTTGTTCATGTGCATTCCAATCAGGCATGTGTGCGCACAGGAGCTGGAAGATTTTTTTCTTAGCAGCATCTGTTGCGTCAGTCTAGATCAGGGGTGGCCAACCCATTTAACAAAGAGAGCCAGAACAGTGGCGGAAAAAATGAGAATTGTTGAGCAAAAACAAACAAAAAAAAATTTAAAACATTTTTTTAAAAGGAGGCTGCCCCTTTAAGACGGCTGCCATATTGGGCACCATTTTTTTAAAACCCCGCAGCTCCGACCCGGTAAGCACAAGAAAGCTGGGGGACGAGGGGGAGCTGGTGGGGGGGCGCAGGAGTGGCTTTGCGAGCTGCAGTTTTGGGGGGCAAGAGCTGCATGCGGATTGGCCACAGCTGGTCTAGATGCCCCCAGAAACACCATTGTGCTGTCTAATATGTAGCCCTGCTGACCTGCCAACCCCCCAGTTCCTTTTTACCACTTGGTGACAGCAGCTGCAACATTTTACTCTTGCTCCCGCAAGCACCATTAGCAGTATTTATTGTGTAAATAGTTGTTAGTGTTAATTGTGGTTAAATTGGGATAAGAAGCACAAAAAAAAATCCTAACTGGCATGCACCTCAGCTGAAAATGAGACAGACACTTCCCACATTTCCTTTGCACACTGGAGCCCAGGCTAGTAGATTTTATCTCCATGGTGGGGAGGCTGGAGTTCCAGCACAGATGCTCCATTGCTGGGGGAGGAAGGGACTCCGAACCTCAGGGGCAGGATCTAGGCAAGCCAGAGGCTGCATCCAGTCCCTGGGCCTTAGGTTTGCCACTCCTGAGTTAGGGGGTATCCCTCTTTTTTCTTCTCTCCTCATGCTTTGGTCCATGGGGTTTAAAGCTCAGGCCTGCCAAAAAATGACCTCCACACTGAGTGCCTGAAGTGACTTGGTGAGAAGCACCAGAAAGAAAACTGCCACATCCGTAAAAGTTTTTGGCTTGTCATACTTAAGAATCGTGAACAGAGGCTAAGGGTCCTACTTATGGAGGCAGCTCTTTGCTCCCAGTCTGACCTGGGCCAGCAGACATGATGTGCAACACCTCTTTCTTAGCACATAGTGCATGGGTGAGATCAATGCATGATTTAGCACCTCGTAAGGATTAACACCAGCACAGCTCTGAGCACAAAGGGGGTAGGCGCAAATCGGAGTCTCTGGTGTCCCAGAAGAGGTGCAGAGATCCTCCAGTCTGCAAAAGAAGCAGTCTGCCACAGAAAGGCAGCAGCATCTGCAGCAGGTGGAAGCATTGACTTCGGCCCTACAAGGGGTTCAGTCAAGTCTGAACAACACTGTTTCCTGGACAAACATGTCCAGGGCATTCCCTTCTACTATTCATCTCCCCTCTCCACTCTCTGAAGCAGCTTGGGACCTGATCCAGATTATGGCACCAGGCCTTTCGAGAAGATGCAACAGTGATGGCTAGACCACTGGTTCCATCTTGTGGCAAGCCCTTCTCCCTACTATGATGATCTTCAGGTTATTGATCTTTGGGTTTGGCACTGGCCAGCACTACACCACCCTGCTGTGGTCCTTGGCCTCAGAGACTTGAAGTTGAGATTTCATTGCCATCTGCAGCCCCCATCAAGACAGTAGCCACATCTATGGAACCCACTGCAAAGGCCATTTTGGACACCTTGGGCTTACAACCAAGTCCAGGGTCCAACCTAACATCCCAGAGCCAGAACAACATCTGTGGTATTTGCATTGGATGTATTGCAAGCAACCCTTCATCTTCATAGAATCATAGGGTTGGAAGAGGCATCAGAAGGTCATCAAATCCAAACCGACAGTAGCCACATCTATGGAACCCACTGCAAAGGCCATTTTGGACACCTTGGGCTTACAACCAAGTCCAGGGTCCAACCTAACATCCCAGAGCCAGAACAACATCTGTGGTATTTGCATTGGATGTATTGCAAGCAACCCTTCATCTTCATAGAATCATAGGGTTGGAAGAGGCATCAGAAGGTCATCAAATCCAAACCCCTGCTACAGGTAGGACCAATCCCAACTCAGTCATCTGAGTCAGGGCATCCTCATGTCATGACTTAAAAACATCCAGAGATGGAGATTCCACCACCTCTCTAGGGAACCCATTCCAGTGCTTCACCACCCTCCTTGTGAAATAGGCCCTAAATCTCCCCCACCGAAAAAATGAGACCATTGCTTATTGTTCTGTCATCTGTCACTGCTGAGAACAGCTTCTCACCATCCTCTTGGAAAAACCCCCTTTCATAGAGTACTATGGTACTTGGGATGGTACTTGGTCCTGCTGTGAAGGCAGGGGACTGGACTCGATGACCTTGCAAGGTCCCTTCCAGTTCTAGGAGATAGGCAATCTCCATTATAGAGTAGAAGGCTGCTATAAAATCCCTCCTCACTGTTCTCTTCTATAGACTAAATAAGCCCAAATCCCTCATCCTTGCCTCATAAATCATGTGGTTTAGTCCCTTAATCTTTTTTGTTGCACTTTAGTGGACTTTCTCCAATGCCTCCACATCCTTTCTGTAATGGGGGCCCCAGAATTGGATGCAGTACTCCAAATGTGGACTCACCAGTGCCAAATAAACAGGAGTAATCACTTCCCTAGACCTGCTGGCAATACTACTACAGATGGACCCCAATATGCCGTTAGCCTTCTTGGCTAAAAGGGCACAATATTGACTCATATCCAGCTTCTCATACACTGTAATCCCTAGGTCCTGTTCTTCTGAACTGCTGTTTAGCGAGTCAGTCCCCAGCTTATAGCAGTGCTTGGGAGTCTTCCATTCAGTTGGACCTCATCACATTTCTTTTGGCTCAGATCTCTCTGGACCTTATCCCTACCTTCCAATGTGCCTACCTCTCCCCCTAGTTTAGTAACATCTGCAAACTTTCAGAGGGTGCAATCCATCCCCTCATCCAGGTCACTAATAATGATGTTGAACGAAACCAGTGCAAGAACCAACTCTTGGGGCACTCTGCTTGATACTGACCACCAACCAGACATCACATCATTGATCACTATCTGTTGAACCTGACTAGTTAGCCATCTTTTTAGCCACCTTTCAGTCCATTTATCCAATCCATACTAGTTTAACTTCTTTATGCTGGAAGTGCAATGGCTCCTATTTCTAGTAGAGGAGCTTCCTCAGGAGCACGGGGCAAGGGTTTTTACTTTTGGTATTTTCTAATGCAAAAGGCCAAGGATAGTCTCAGGCCCATTCTGGACCTGTGAGAAACAAAAGTTCTTCTTTGAATGATGTCCCCATAGGTGCTCCACTGTTGGTGTTGGGCTCGTCCCACACCGCAGATCAGAATCTTTTTCTAGCTGTGTCTAATTGGGTTGCGCATGCATGAGAGTGCCATTTGCACCATTGGAGCTCATGCATGTGGCCCAACTCCCCTCAATCCCTTTTTGACTGCCCTCCATCACAGACGGAGCTCTATCCCTCTCCTCCTCTTTAGTTCTCTGAAGATAGGAATTGAGTTGTAATTAGTTAAAATGGTTAGTTCTTTGTTATTTTTATAGTTAGTAATCATTAGTTAAAAAACCATTTTTTTCTTCATAACTGTTGTAAATAGTTAAGGCACAGCTCCTAAGGGACAGCACACTGCCAGCCTTGACCCTAAGGCCTCCTCTTCATTAGAGAGAGAGAGAGAGAGAGAGAAGAGAAACAGGATAAATTGGTTATTCTCAAATCAGAAAATAAGAGCGGGGTGGGGGGGCAGGAGAGTAGGAGGAAGAGAGGCAGAGAGAGAGAAAGAGAGAGAGACCCACCTTAACATGGGGCGGGGGAGCAGGGGATCAGCAACATGCCAGGCTCCCCTAGTTTTAAAAAAATATGAGAAGTGCTGCGATACAGTGCCCACTTCAGATGGCCATGGGTCTTGTATTCATTGCTTGGGGCAGGCATACATCCCCTAGAAGTGTGTACATAGTCTTACAGCCAGAGCTCGCAAAGACAGGGGGCTGAGGCTACTCATACTGCTATTTGACAAAGCACTTGAGCCGCAGGCAAATAGGGATAGAATCATAGAATGCTAGGACTGGAAGGGACCTGAAGAGGTCATTGAGTCCAGTCCCCTGCCCTCATGGCAGGACCCAGTACTGTCTAGACCATCCCTGATACACCATCTAGACCATCCCTGACAGATGTTTCTCTAATCTGCTCTTAAATATCTCAGGAGATGGAGATTTCACAACCTCCCTAGGCAATTTATTCCAGTGTTTAACCACACTAACAGGTAGGAAGTTTTTCCTAAAATCCAACCTAAAACTTCCTTGCTGCATTTTAAGCCCATTGCTTCTTGTCCTATCCTCAGAGGCCAAGGAGAACAATTTTTCTCCCTCTTCCTTGTAACACCCTTTGGGGATGTCTAGACTACAGGGTTTTGTCGACAGAACTTTTGTCGACAGATACTGTCGACAAAGCTTCTGCCGACAAAGAGTGTCTAGACTACATCCAGTTCTGTCGACAAAGCAAGCCGCTTGTCGACATAACAGTGTGGACGCAAAGGACAGTGTAGATGCAATAATGCCTTCTATCGACAGAACTCTGTCAACAAAAGGCGTTATTCCTCGTAGAATGAGGTTTATATACATCAACAAAACTGCTGAGTTTTGTCGACGTTATGTTGACATAACTCAAAGGCAGTGTGGACACAGGTATAGTTTTGTTGACAAAAGTCCACTTTTGTCGACAAAATCCTGTAGTCTAGACACACCCTTTTAGATACCTGAAAACCGCTATCATGTCCCCTATCAGTCTTCTCCTTTCTAAACTAAACAAGCCCAGTTCTTTCAGTCTTCCCTCATAGCTCATGTTCTCTAGACCTTTAATCATTCTTGTTGCTCTTCTCTGGGCCTTCTCCAATTTCTTTCTCCACATCTTTTTTGAAATGTGGTGCCCAGAACTGGACACAATACTCCAACTGAGACATAACCACAGAGTAGAGTGGAAGAATAACTTCTCATGTCTTGCTCACAACATCCCTGTTAATGCATCCCAGAATCATGTATGATTTTTTTGCAACAGTGTCACACTGTTGACTCATATTTAGCTTGTGGTCCACTGTGACCCCTAGATTCCTTTCTGCCGAACTCCTTCCTAGATAGTCACTTCCCATTCTGTATGTGTGAAACTGATTGTTCCTTCCTAAGTGGAGTACTTTGCCTTTGTCCTTATTAAACGTCATCCTATATACCTCAGACCATTTTTCCAGTTTGTCCAGATCATTTTGAATTATGATCCTATCCTCCAAAGCACTTGCAACCCCTCCCAGCATGGTATCATCTGCAGACTTAATAATCATACTCTCTATGCCAATATCTAAATCTTTGATGAAGATATTGAACAGAACTGGTCCCAAAATAGACTCCTGTGGAACCCTACTTGTTATGCCCTTCCAGCTTGTTTGTGAACCATTAATAACTACTCTCTGAGAACAGCTATCAGGCCAGTTATGCACCTACCTTATAGTAGCTCCCTCTAAGTTGTATTTGCCTAGTTTATTGATAAGAAGATCATGTGAGACTAAATCAAATGCCTTACTAAAGGCTAGGTACACCACATCTACCACTTCTCCCTCATCCACAAGACTTGTTATCCTATGAAAGAAAACTATCAGATTAGTTTGACATGATTTGTTCTTTACAATTCCATGCTAGCTGTTACCTGTCATCTTATTTTCTTCCAGATGTTTGCAGATGATTTTCTTAATTACTTGCTCCATTATCTTTCCTGGCACATAAGTTAAATTGACTAGTCTGTAGTTTCTTGGGTTTTTCTTATTTACCTTTTTGTAGATGGGCACTATATTTGCCCTTTTCCAGCCTTCTGGAATCTCTCCTGTCTTCCATGATTATTCAAAGATGATAGCTAAAGGCTCAGATACTTCCTCTATCAGCTCCTTGAGTATTCTAGGATGCATTTCATCAGGCACTTGTGACTTGCAGACATCTAACTTTTCTAAGTAATTTTTAACTTGTTCTTCTTTATTTTCTCTTCTAAACCTACCCCATTTCCACTAGCGAGCACTATGTTAGGCATTCCTTCATCAGTGCAGGAAATTGATATCTTCTTCTGATCTCACTTTGGAAAGCGGAGCTTTTGAAAGTGAAAGTAATCTAGATGCATTTTTTCAGCAACCTCCCGCTTTTCCTCAAAAAATGAGGTTTATGTGGCTTTTCAAAGAAGTGGGGGGGAGAGTTGCTGGAAAAAACCCCGCGTCTAGCTTTGGAAAGTGAGATCGGATGAAGATATGCAAAATCCCATGGAATTTGCGTACCCTCTTTTGAATCGTCCCCATAGTCTAGACATAGCCTTAGGTACCAACTAGGAGACTATCCCCAGTAGCGGGGTTGTTTCCATTTGAAGAACAGCTCGTGTATACGTGGGAAAGTCAGAATAGTTTGCAAAGCAGAACACGTTTCCCAAGACCTTCTATCATTCGTTAGAATCATGAACTCTTATGTTTTAATGATCACTTTCACCCAAGCTGCCTTCCACTTTCAAATTCTCAAGCAGTTCCTCCCTATTTGTTAAAATGAAATGTAGAACAGCTTCCCCCGCAATAGCTTTTTCAACCTTCTGAAAGAAAACATCTTCAGTGCAGTCCAAGAACTTATTGGATAGTCTGTGTCCTGCTGTGTTAGTTTCCCAACATATATCTGGATAGTTGAAGTCCCCCATCACCACCAAATCCTGAGCTTTGGATGATTTTGTTAGTTGTTTAAAAAAAGCCTCATCCACCTCTTCTGCCTGGGTAGGAGGCTATAGTAGACCCCTAGCATGACATAAAAGTTGTCTCCAATGCAGTTCAAGAACGTATTTGATAGTCTGTGCCCCGCTGTGTTATTTTCCCAACATATATCTGGATAGTTGAAGTCCCCCATCACCACCAAATCTTGGGCTTTGGATGATATTGTTAGTTGTTTAAAAAAAAGCCTCATCCACTTCTTCCATCTGGATAGGAGGCCTGTAGTTGACTCGTAGCATGGCATCACTCTGGTTTTTAACTACTATTATCCTAACCCAGAGACTCTCAATACTTCCGTCCATCTCCACCTCACTCCAGTTGTGTTCATTTTTAATATATAAGGCAACACCTCCTGCCTTTTTTTTTCCTGCCTGTCCTTCCTGAGTAAGCTGTACCTTTCTATACCAATATTCCAATCGTGTGTATTATCGCACCAAGTCTCTGTGATGTCAATGATGTCATAGTTGCATTTATTTATTAGCACTTCCAGTTCTTCCTGCTTAGTACCCATTCTTCTTGCATTTGTATATAGGCATCTAAGATATTGATTTGATATTGCCTCCCAGTTCTGTCTTGTCCCTCCTTTCTCCCAGCTATTATAGCCCATACTCCGTCCCATTTCCGACCCATCTTCCAGGTCTTCATTTTCTTCACTTACCCGTGAGCTTTGGTCACCTGTCCCTGTCGTACCTAGTTTAAAGCCCTCCTCACTGACACTAATTAGCCTTAATCTGCCACTAAGGAGAAGAAAACCTCAAGCTCTTTCTCACTTAAGACCTCTGTGACAGACCGCCTCCCCCCCATGTTTTATGAAATGGACTTATGGACATGAATATACATAACTCAAAGGTGTTTTGAGCAAATTATTTTGTGTAACTCATCAATCTTCATGTCATGATCTCCTGGTTCTGTTTATCTTTCTTTGGTGTATGTATCATTTTTGGGTGTAAAATTAGACACATGGAGTGGGGAATACTTTGTAGGTTTCAAATGTGTGAATGAGTGACATGGAGGGTGTTACCCTCAACTGTTAAACTCTTTTGTCCTTCAGCCTGAGCAGTGGTTGGTGGGGAGTGGCCTCAATTCTTTAAAAAAAAATAGGAAAGCAGAGGACTTTTGGCTGGGCTGCACCTGAAAGAAGGAAGTGAAGACCCCAGGGTAGGGAAGAGAACCCTGGTTTGGAGTGGCAGCTGGAAAAAAGGTTTTAGGATGAGTTTGAAGAGTTTGTACTGAGGTTTCGGTGTAGAATTAGCCAAGCATTTTGGTTTCTTTTGATTTGTAACTTCGTTTGCTCTGCCTTTTCTCACTTATTATTACTTCAATCCTACTGCTTCCACTTTATAAAATCATTTTTATTTTCTATCAAACCTAGTGTAACTAATTGTTACCTGGGGGGGGCGTAACTAGTGTGCACATTCCCTCTTTCATTGTTAAAGGTGGCTTACCTAATTCCTTGGGGTTTGATCCCATCTGGAGAGTGCTTTCTGAGGAGGCTGGGCCCTAAGCTGCACTCACCTTGGACCTGAAGAGGTTCAGTGTCTGTACTGCTTCTCATGGGGGCAGGGACCTCAGCTTGGAACTGGCACAGCAGGACCTGGTGGTGAGGAACCCCGGAGACCGGAACCCCAGAGGCACCCCCAAGGGGTCGTCTGTGACCATGCCCTGTCAGACTCTCAACTAAAAAAAGGGACTATCCAGCCTGCTCCCTATTGCCAAGGATTAGTATGGGATACAAGCCAGGCACCTTGGGTACTGCATGCCCCCGTGCTGCATCAGTGACAAACCTGAAATCACAGTCTGAGCAAACTGCCGCACTGAAGAGACCTGGTGCCAGGGAACGAGATAAAACTTTGGCACTCCGGGGCAGACCAAGACTTCAGTGCCGAT